CCTTCTCGTATTGATCCTTATTGGTACCCCAGTCATGCAAGACAAGAACCTATGGACCCTGTGACCTGCTCCATCAGGAAGGCAGACTTTCATCTAGAATGGAACTGGCCTTTCTCCTTCTCTACATCCTCAACATAGGAAAAGGAAACCACCAACACCCCAGAAGACTGGCTTTGGAGAGAAAGGGAAATGCCGAATATTCTAGCCACACTTATTCATATCAACCTAATGAGGCCCAGCACCAACATCAGGCAGGTGTTATGTTCACTGAACACAGGGTGCCTTCCGGAGCCCATCGTTCAGCATCTACACTGGCCATCGCCTTGACCTCTGACCTTTCTTCTCTGAGGAAATGCCTTTTATGTCACGATGGAAATGGCTGCCAATAACTCACAATTTCCAGACTTTTCCACCATACAAATGTATCACAGTTTACCCCACCAGTCTCTTCACCAGCTCCACTTGAGAGAAGCAGTCCAGCCTCTGGTACCTCATGCCCACAGTGAAGGAAAGCAAGGAACAGAGAGAAAAGATGGGCAGAGGTGGCTGCGGAGCAACTCCTAGATGTCTGGAATCCTTTGTTCTTTCTGGTAAAAGCCCCACACCTGAACACTGGAGGATTCACTCAGGAACCTTTTCCTAATATCATTGATCCTCTACCCTCTGCAGCCAATAGGACCAGCGTTGGGCTCAGGCTGGCCTTGAATTTAGAGATTTGCCTGCGAGAGAGATGTGATTTATCCACTCAGCAGTGAAACTATTTTTTTCCTTTCAACACACAAACCAGAAAGTTAGCTTCCTTCATCCTCAAAATCAGTATCTTTATTTCTATTTAACAAAGAAAAAGTGTCCAAGGCATCAATAGCAGAGATGCTGCGTCAGTAAGGGGACATTTTTGTGGGCTTTGAACTGGAGAGCTTGGAGAAATGGAAGATTGAGACCAACACGACTTGGGGTCTCACTCTAGCTGGACCAGTCTGTCCACTCAGATTTTATACTAAGTCTTGATTCCAAAGACCTTTTGGTACTTTTTAAATATTAAATTCACCTTTCAAGGAAAGGTGAGTTAGCAGAAAGAATTGTCTAAATACACTAAAAACAATTTTAAAAAATTCCAAAAGAGCCGTTGTCGCAAAGCCTTTGACTCCAGCAGCCTCGGTGCTTAATAAAGCGCACAGCCCCCACGAGCAGCATGGATGGAGGAGACAGTGCGGAGTGACTTCGAGGGGTAGCTCTGTGTGTTTGCAGGAAGACACACACTCAAACCACCAAGATCTCAAATTTTACATTCACCTTGAATACTAACACAGGCAGAAGTGCGATCATGGAAACGCTCTCTGGGTTTGGGGAAGGAAAGTTCAGCTGCCAGTCTCCAGCAGGTTCATGGCTGCTATTTCACCCAAAGGTGATGAAAAAGCCAAGCGCACATCCGTCCACCAGCAAGAATCGACGGGACAGATACATTCCTGGGATAGCTCTCAGCTTGATCCTAATCTACAACATCCGGAAGGTCCAGCAAAAACAAAAAACAAAAAATAGAAAAAGCAGAAGACCCTTAATTTGCATCTTCCACTCTCCCAGCGTGAACCCACACAAATGCTTCAAGAAAATAACACTGGAGGGGCACCCTAGTGAACCCATTTCCCAGCCAGGCTTCACTTAAAAAAAACAACAAAGTATCCTTTTCTTTAAAGAAAAGAAAACTTCACTTTGAATTCAAGCTGTTTATAGTTAGCTATAGCTAAATACATGGCACTTATTTGCCTTAAATAAAATGAAAAATTCTAAGAATTTGGAAAACTAACCAAGTTTCACACCCTGAGACTGGAAAAATACATTCCCAGGACCGCGCTTCCAAAAATGTCCTGTAGGGGGCACTAGAGAGATATGGTTGAGGCCGACTTGGGAAATCGCAGTCATTTCTGGTAAAAGTTGTTTGATGCAAGGAATGTCCCAGCCTGGTACAGTTGGCAAAGTTCACTCTGGGGAAGTGTGTGTGTGTGTGCGTGTGCACGCGCGAGTGCCCGTGTGTGTGTGTGTGTGTGTGTGTGCACGCGCGAGTGCCCGTGTGTGTGTGTGTGTGTGTGTGTGTGTGTGTGTGTGTCCTGTTGGGACAATGTGGCAGAAGGAAAAAAAAAAAAAAGCAGGTCTGAAGTTCCTTGATTCCTAAAAGAAATATCGTTGACTTCCTCTCACAAGCCATCTAGAAACAGCAGTCTTGGAAAAGTTCTGTGTCTTGTTTTTGTTTTTCTCATGTAAAGGGGGCCTGGCTGATGAAAACAAGTTATGAAATGACCTCTGTTTGTGTAACTGACTGGATTGCGTAATGCCAGGGCCCTGAAACCGTAACAGCCAAGGAGCAAGGCAAGGCATATATATCTGAAGGTGTTATCCCAGGAAAGCCAGGAGAAAGAAAACAACAACAAAGCCAGCTCCAGGAGGGAAGGAGTATACAACTATCCTCAAGAAAATTAAATCGCCAATGATTAACCTTTGAGATTGAGATTATAGCTGCAACAGGAACTATGTTACATATTTCCAGTTCCTGCCATATACACAGCAGGGGTTTTAACAAAGAGCTATACCCGTCTCCCACCACACAAGTCGGTGGAACTCAGTGCTAAGACCAGGCATTAAGTAGCTAGCCGGGGGTGGGGGGCCATTTGGGACTGGTTAAACATCACATTTATTTATGGGAGATAGAGGACCCGCATACAAGGAGACCGGGAGGGAAAATCATACCCACTTGCTCAAGGGAAACACAGGAACATCTCACAATGATTGGTCCATCATGATGCCATAAAGGAGGAAGGCCCGGTCACTAACTGCCGGAAAAATTTCCCTATGAAGGTGGTTGAGAGAATAGGTGATTACAGACTTTATCTGGTATGTAATAAAGTTACCTTGAGCCCAGATCGGGGTGGGGTCCTAGCACAGACTTGGAAAGTAACAAAAGACGCCGAGGCGTATCATTGGGACCACGGAGTCAAAAGCCAGAGCAGGGAGGGAACACCATTCCTCCTCTGCTCCTCGTCTCCCACCCCCCACACCAGCAAGGAGGTACCAGGGTGAAACTTGGCCAAAGCGGCATCACCTTGCCAGTCCCTCTGGGTTGAGAGACTTCTTGCTCCTGCTATTAAGCAAAATGGGCACAGGAACCTGAGAATCCCATGCATTGGTTGATGCAAACTGCAAAATCCGCATGTGTTACAGCATGCTAGAAATTAGCCAACAGCTGCTTTTTGCTTCGGTAATGAGGCCCCATTACACACTGCTGGACGGAGCTCTCTTCCTTCGTCCGAGCTTTGGTTTCCTGTCTGATTTGCTTCCAAAACAAGGAATTGCCTCTGCTCATATCCTGGGTTCAAAGCCCTAGTGACACAGATATCCAGCTGAGGCACTGATGTCGGGTCAGACTTCCCATCCAGGCCCTGGAGGCTGAGGGAAGCGCCAGGTAGGGAGATGGCACTGTGTCCGTGGTCACCGTCTCAATCTCATTTAGTGACAGAAACAGACGAAAGTGCAAAGCTCCTATGTTGACTGGTGAAGGAGAGGAAGGTGGAGTGGGGTTACTGAATTGGAAAGTGGGGGGACAGGTATAAATGACTCTGACCCATTGATGAATGACATTTGGGTTCAACACAAATCGCCCCTGGGCTGGGACTGCAAACATAATCAATGACTTTTCAGGTAAGACTTAAAACTTTTTACTTCTATAGTACGGGTCCATTGACTGCCCCCTTCTTGCGCAGACTAGACTCTCTACAATGGGTGCTTAGCAGGTATGAAGGGGTTAGAGAGAATACAAAGAAAAGCCATTTGGAGGGACTCACCAAACATGGGACACTACTTTAAGAGAGGTGTCCCTCTTTTACAGATTACAAAGAAAGACATGTTTTGATTATATTTCCCAGCTCAGTCCATCTCTTCCTGGAAGTGCCCGCCACACACACCCCCCCCACCACCACCAATCGGGTTGACTGCTGGAGGCCGAAGCCAAGGCCATAGCCATGGCCTTAAGAGAGTAACTCACACTGCCGCCAACTTGGCTAGGAACTTCGGTGGGCTTCAGGTGGCCGAGGACCTTGTGAGTTCACGCGGTTCTCTCATAAGACAGCGTGTGTACGCTGCTACACAAGTCAGGGGCCGCGCCAGCACCACCACCCCACCAGTGCCTGTTTGGTACCTACAGACACGCAGATTACAGGCACAATCCCTCCAACGGAAACCAGTCTGCCTGCTTTACAAAGTTGTTTTTCTACTTCTGAAACCAAGGGATGTCTCTTTCTCCCGCTTCTCTCTGCCAACTTCTTTGCCCCAGATACCCCCAAGACCCTCAAAGGTCTGCTCTCCGGACAGTACAGGCTCCTGCCCAACCCTCACCGGAAGCTGGGGGGGGCACAAGAGGTGTCAAGAGCCAATCAAAGCCAGCTTCTTCCTTCCTGACCTTCGCACCTGATTCCCAGAGGCAACCCTAGCCCTCCCTCCGGATCATTTGAAGGAGCCCAACCGTATTTCTGAGTTCCCAACCCTTTTCAGAAAATAGCTAAGACTGAAGGAAAATAGAAGAAGGAAGGGCTAAAAGGCCTTCGTTATAGGGTCTTTGACGGTTGGGAGGGGTTTGGGAGTGCAAAGACTTCCTAGACTATCCACCACCGAGAAAGGGGAAGGAGGGAAGGGAGGGGAGAGAGCTCGGAAGGAGGCAACAGGCTTCCAAGAGCGGACCTGCAATTCCAGAAGCTTTTCTGAAAAATAAAGTAAGAGGAGCCGGTGCGGGGGTGCGGGGGGATGTTATTGACTCTTCAAGCCCACTCTCCCCTTGTTTAAAATAAAAAGTGGTGGGGTGGGTGGGGCAGAACAAAACCCCACAACTTAACAACGGTGGCCCCTAAGTATTTTTCTAGCCCAGCCAAGAAAAGGTAAAGACGGAGGTTGGGGGTGAAGGCAGTGGGAGAGAAAAGTCTGCCTGCGCCGCCAGGTGCACCCGGGCCCTCACGTACCTGCTGACCGCCGCCACCACTGGAGTAGGACTCCGCGTGCGCAGGAGAGCCGCTGCTGCCCCGGGACGAGGTGTCAAAGTTCCCGGGATAATCCTGGTACATGATCCGCGGTGGGGGCCGGAGAGGAAACAGGGTGGTTTTCTTCCCCGCCCTCGCCGCGGCCGCGCACAGTCTGCTGCGCGCTCGCTGGTCCACTGGCCCCGCGGCGGACTGGGCTCTTCGCTCCGGGGCTGTCCCCCAACCGAGGCAGACAGGGAGGCGGCGACACTCGGGAAGTGATCCCCCGATCACCGCGCACCGCACTTCGTTTCTGCTCTGCAAGCTCCGCGGAACCGGTTGTCCACCGGGTCCCTCCCTCTAAAAAGTCGGCGCGTCCCTCAGTCCCTCCCCTGCGCGCGCCCTTCCGCCCCCGCGCGCAGCCGGAGCTCCGCCGGGACCCACGGGCTGGAGAAAAATGGGCAACGCAAAAAGACTAGGAGCCCAGAGGGTGTCGCTTGGCAGCTCTGAGGGACTCTCTTCCCAATCTCACAGAGCGCCAAAAAGGAGAAAAAGAAAAGCTGCCGGTTGGGAGAAACTTCTGTTTCCTCCTTTTAGAAAAGGAGCCCGAGAATAAACTTCCTGTGGCCAACTCGCCGCCTGAGTTTCCCGGCGACACGGACACTTGACTTAGGACAAGGCAGCGAGCGCCGGTCCAGCAGCCCTGATCGCGCCGGCGGGACAGTGCCCGTGGGGTTCCAGGCTGAGCGATGCTGAGAGGGACGTGGCTCCGCGCCGCAGTGACCTGCACCCCGTGTCCGCTCCGGGACTGGCCGGCCTCGCGCGTCTCTCCTCGCTTCGCCCTCCCTCTCTCTCTCTCCCCCTCTTTCTCTCGCTCGCTCGCTCGCTCTCTCTGTCCCTGCCGTGCGCTGCTCGCTGTCTTGCTCTGAGCCCCTGCGCTCTGCCCGAGATGAGTCACTACAATGGCACGAGTTCAACTCCACACTCTTTATTCTCCAGCCCCACACCATGTGGATCGACTCACGTCAACTCAGACTCCACCTTGCTGGGAGGAGCGCTCGAGGCGGCGGGGGAGGAGGCCGGGACGAGGAGGAGGAAGAGGCGCGGGAGGGGAGGAGGCAGGCGCCTCGCTCCCCTCCCGGCTCTGCTCGCGGTGGTGCTGACGCCAGCCACACACCCCGCGCAAGGAAGGCGGGCGGTGGTGCGGGTGGGAACGCGCGACACTCGCACTATGGGGGCGCCAAGGCCGCTCGGGTCCTTGCGGATCTCCTCCACCCCCCACCCCACCCCCGGGGCGCAGCGCCCTTGGTCTGTTCCATTGGCGCACGTTGCCAAAGATGGTCATTTGCGTTAGAGGACGCGAGTGCGGGTTTCCTCGCTTTCGGGTGACGTGGAGGGAGAGGGATTCCCTTGCCCGCTCCTGAGCGCGCCGCGGCCTTCCCCTCCTCCCCATCCCCACTCCATAAGGAAGGGGCGCGGGGCGGGGCCCCCGAAAGCGGCGGTGCGGGCACGGTCTCCGGGTTTTAGAAAACAATCGCAGCCCAAAAGACGAGACAGGTGGCTC